AATATTTTTTGGCTAATTTTATATTTTGATACTTATATATTATTTTAATATATATTTCATTCGCGATTATCACTGCCTTGGCTTGCCCTATATGTACACAGTACACCCTACTCTTCCGTGTCCTCTTAATAAATCTTGTAAGCCATAAGACCGCTGCCTACTTTCAGGCATTCTCTCCCCAATTTTATCGACACTTTAAACACCTGTTCTTGTTCGTGCAATCTAATCAGCAAGCAATAGATTTCTCTATCTGCTGCTGATTTTCGCACCTGGCAGCTGCCACTGGTTTACACTTTAGTCAATCGAAAGCTTTCGAAATGCGCAGCTTGTTTCTAGTGCTGATTGCCTTGCTCGGCTGCTCCTTGAGCTCGGGCCGCGTTCTCTTTGACGATGAGCTGCGTGAGTTGACGGAGTTTTTGCGCTTGCAAATGCAGTGTGGGTATCCGGCCAAGGGCATACCCGTCCTGGCGCCCGCTCAGCTGTCCTACAAGGAGGTGGACATTCAAGCGGATGCATTTAGGTAAGCTCACGAGCCAAGCAGAGGCAGCAGCTACAGTTTCTCTACTCTCCCTTTGCAGTGGGCGTGGCAACTTTACGAACATCTCCATTGTGGGTCTCGATAGCTTCGAGTTCTCTCAGCTGCAGTGGAATAATATATTTCATACCATCAAATTCGATGTAAGCTTTCCCAGCATTCGCTTGACGGCCGAGAACTACAAGTTCGATCTGAGGCGCTTCCTTGGCGCGACTGCCTCGAATAAGTGCGACGGTGTCTTCGATGTGGAATTAATTGATGTACGGGCCAATGGCAGCTTCGTGCTGCGTCCCTCGAGTCTAACGAATGGCATTCATGTCACTCGCTGGAATGTCGACTGGCAGCTGGGAAATGCCATCTCTCAGATCACCGGCACTGGCAGCAAATATCTGGAAAAGATTATCAATTACATCCTTCAGGACTTTCTGCAGTTGCTCATCAATGACAATCCTGAAGAGATCTCACAGTTTATGGAGCAACTGCTTGTCGCGCCACTGAATACGGTGTTTGGTAATGTGGCCTGGTATGAAATAACTGCGATCATCTTGGGTCTGGTCAATGGTGTATTGCCCGTCGAGCCCATTTGTTGAAGAGCCTATTCAAGCTAATTTCACAATGACTAAAATAAAGTGCTGATAATCTTTTGTTGGTCTTTAAAGTTTTTTGATTAATTTCTGGATATATTTGTGCTGATTTGGGACGTGGCAAAAAGACTTTATCTCTTATATTTTTTGCTAAATCTAAAGGGGGTGTGGCATGACTATTCTGCAGTCGAATGTTCCCGATTGTAGCATTTTTTATCGATTTTATGTTATAATTACAGTAGAATCCGGGTATAACGACTCCGATTAAAGCGTCCAGGCGGTTATGTCGCCGAAAATTCGATGTCTTGGTTGGTCCCCACACAAACTTATCTGAAAGAGCCTCCGCTTAGTACGACGACAATCCGCTTATGCCGACGATTTTTCCAGATTTTTGAGTCAATCACCGGTTATTACGCCGTGATTAAAAAAAAACCCGAAATAATGACAACAAATTTCAACATGTATGTATTGATCAGTGATCAGTACCCTTGCTTGTGTGCGTAGCAACGCAACAAATGCTGCTAAGACATAGAGAGGGAGAGAGACAAAGTACAATGCCGACGTCACAAAAATGTTTCTAAACCATGTTATTAATTAATAAGTTTATAAAAAATGGTTGTTTTGATTACAAAATTTAAATTGTTTTATAGTAAAAGCTACTACAAACATGGCAACCGTAAAAAATATGTAAAAAAATATTTTTTACTCT